ACCATATTTCCATGTGGGCATATAATAAACGATGTTAGACATTATAACCGAATCGTATCACAAACGTTTATCCATCGAATAATTTATATTCAGATTTCTATCAAGTCAATTAAATGTTGTTTAAACGCCAATCAAATAATAATACGAGGCTACTAGATTACAAAAACACCGGTGAGCAATAATTATTGGGTAAATATTAATTATAAACAACTGATGAGTAAAACTTAATTATTTTATACAATTAATGTGTGTGTGTACGATTCTACCATTAGTTTGTTCATGAGGTATTACGCACACGTTCCAACTAGAGTGATGTCTTTGATCAGGCCAGCGTAAAAAAAAGATAATTACCTAATCAGCATTCTTAATCCCACTCAGCATTCTTAATCCCACTAACACACACTGCTAACACCGATGTGTAAATTAATTTATGACCCATGTCTTTTATAGTCAGATTGATTGATTAATTAATGACAGATATTAACGACACCACACTTGCCATATTATTATCAATACACAAAGATAGTTAGATGACCCTTCTCAATCTGTCTGTTATAAATAGTTGCTGTCTTTACGGTATAAGGAATAAATATGCAAAGTTCCAAGATGATCCATTCAGAATTGCAGCCTGTAGACGATAAATACAAAAAATGGGTGTGGCTCTGCCCCTTGGGGTTGGATATGGAACAATATAAATGGGTACCACCCTGTTATTTGAAATGACAACATCAATAGTTGCCGTCCTTAGGGTATAAGGAATAAGTATTCCAAGTTCCAAGATAATCCATTCAGAATTGTGGCCTTCGGGCACTAAAGGCAAAAATTGGGCGTGGCTCTGCCCCTGGGGGTTGGGGCATTCACCAAAATGAATACTTGACGCCCTTAGGCTATAAGGAATACATATCCCAAGTTGGGCAATCACCAAAAAACAATAGGGGCATCCTTAGGGTATAAGGAAAAGGTATGCAAAGTTTCAAAATGATTTGTTAAGAATTGCGGCCTGTAGACAAAGAATAAGTATGCAAAGTTTCAAGATGATACGTTAAGAAATGCGGCCTGTAGACAACAAACAAACAAACAAATACAAGAAATGGGCGTTGCTCTGCCCCTGGGGATCGGGCATGCACCAAAAACAATAGGGATCAAGGAATTCATACAAAATTTTTTCAAGACGATCGATTAAGAATTGTGGCCTGTAGGCGGCACACAGATACACAAAAAGAAAATGGGCGTGGCTCTGCCCCTGGGGCTTGGGCATGCACCTCAAACTACAGGGATGTTCCTTAGTGTACAAAGAATATGTATGCAAAGTTTCAAGATGATACGTTAAGAAATGAAGCCTGTAGACGACAAACAAACAGATACAAGAAATGGGCATGGCTGTGCCCCTGGGGGTCGTGCATGCACCAAAAACAACAGGGATCATCCATAGGGTATAAGGAATACGTGTGTAAAGTTTCAAGATGATCACTTAAGAATTGTGGCCTGTAGGCGATACACAGACACACAAAAAGAAAATGGGCGTGGCTCTGCCCCTGGGGGTTGGGCATACACCCCAAACGATAGGGATGTTCCTTAGGGTACAAAGAATAAGTGTGCAAAGTTTCAAGATGATACGTTAAGAAATGCGGCCTGTAGATGACAAACAAACAGATACAAGAAATGGGCATGGCTCTGCCCGGCATGCACCCCAACGATAGGAATGTTCCTTAGGGTATAAGGAATAAGTATGTAAAGTTTCAAGATGATCACTTAAGAATTGTGGCCTGTAGGCGACACACAGAAAGACAGGTTGCCAGGCAACAAAACATACGCCCACAGCAGCTAAATCGTCCGGGCAGTCAACAAGAGTTGTCGCATATTTTTACTTTTTTCGGTAATGAAACATTTATAATACACTAAAATCTGATTAAGAGCAACAACTCATGAAGTAATTATCAGAAAACTATTAGAATTTGTTTGGTTTTTATAAAGTTCTGCCCCATGCTAACGTTTTGTATTCAAAGCTTTATAGTCCGGTGGCTGAAGGGGGGGAATCGCCACCCGAGCTGTGAATTTATGAGACCAAGTTTTTCTAGACCAGTTTTTTGCGTAGATTCCGAATCTGGGTGGTGATCAGGCGTTTGAGGGGGCGTTTTTGAGATATGGGGGGTCCAATGTCTACAATTGGGGGAAAATGTGGTTATGTTGACATATTAATGATGATCATGTTATATAATTATTAATAAAACATAAATTTCCCGGACTGCCTATCTCTAAATAAGTGTTTATGATACCCCTGGGCAACTGTTTTGATTTGTGGCAAGGTGGGGTGGGTGGTAGCAGGTGTGCGAGTGTGTATGGGGGGGGGGGGGGTGTAAAATTGGCGGGAAATGAGTTCACGTCGATTTAAATGATGATTTTCTTAAGAGCTTGATGAAACATCTCTAAATATGTTTATAATATTCCCATTGTGTGGGGATGGACGCCGGAGTGGGTGCCCGCGGGGGTGGGCGGGTTATGGAGGGGGGGGGGGTAACATGTGTTTTTGTGGACAGAAATCATTTGGTTCAAAATTGACCTTAAAAGTGGTTTCTCGTTAACTTTTCCATTCATTACCTATTTCGTCATCCAATATATTAAATTATAATGGTACTTTACAAGAGATCTGGAAATGCAGATAAAAAAACACAGTAAATCAGAGACATGTTTAGATATTAGTTTATTCTTAGTCTTCATCAGAAGATTCAAAATCAAAGTTCATAATATGAGTTGGATAAATATCTTCTTGGTTGCTGACCAGCAGCTCACATATATCCTTTGGATATGCTTCAGATAACAATTCACACTCCAAATCTTCATTCCAACTATGCAGCAAAACACCACTATGGCAAGGTGGTAATAAAGAAAAGTCTGTTATCTTTTCACCTAGAAAATCTATCTTCTAGCGTCATCTACTGATTAAGTCGCCTTCTGCGATATTTTCTTGCTTTGCCCATCTCATTATCGATCAAAATGTGTATATTTGTATCATTGTGAGGAGAATGATTGGGATGTCTATTTCGCCCGAGCAATTTGTTTCAGCGCTTCCATTAATTTGCAATGCGAAGAGGAGTAGGTAAGCTATATTGGTGTCCTTGTGATTTGTTGTCAGTTCTAGGATATTCTCGACACTTCAACACTAAACTTGATATATTTTTTGATCCAATCAAGATTAGTATTGAAAGTGTCGAGAATATCTTGGCCTACATGCTTTCAGTGTCAATGACTAACTGTCTTTCTTTTTCCAACTTTCTAACAATTTTTAAGGAGCTGGGACAGACAAATGATGTTTCTGATGACGTAATTACTGGTTTAGAACAAATTGTTTGTACTATGTACGGTGAAAGGTGACTTACAACAGTAGATGACAATGGAAAAAAGATTTTCTGGGGGAATTTAAATTGTGATGAAAAAAACAAAAAAACCTTTCTTTCTTTATTACCATCTTGCCTGAGTTGTCTTTTGCTGCACATTGAACGCAACAATTATGTTGAAACAATATGGAGACAGGCTGCAAAACCAATGATCAACAAGATAACCCTGGGATACAAGGCTGGAATGAAGATTTACAATGTGAATGGGTATCTGAAGCATATCCAAAGGATATATGCGAGCTGTTGATTAGCCATCAAGAAGATATCTATCCCGCTCATATTATGAACTTTGATTTTGAATCTTCTGATGAAGACTAAGAATAAACTAATATCTAAACATGTCTCTAATTTACTGTGTATTTTATGTACCATTATAATTTAATATTATTATTTGGAATGATGAAATTGGTACTGAACGAAAAAGCAATCTAATACAGATGTATATTTCGTTTTGTGTTTTTATACTTTCGATGGCCTACACTACATGGGTTATACGAGCGGCTTTTGACACTATGGCGTCAGACATTGATAACTCAAATCAGCGTTGACGTTTCTAGGGGTTTACTCCACAGTTCCGTGCAGAGCACGCCAAGAACTCGCCGTAACAGACCGTTTTATTAGCTAATTCCCTGTGTGTTTTAATCAGATTGAACGAAAAAGCTAACGAGAAAACAATTTTCAGGCCAATTTTGAACCGAATGGTTTCTGTCCCCAAACTTACATTTTGTCATTTATATCAACATAATGAAATTTCCCCCAATTGTAGACATCGGACCCCCCATATCTGGAAAACGCCCCCTCAAACGCCTGATCACCACCCAGATTTGGAATCTACGCAAAAAAATGGTCTAGAAAAACTTGGTTCCATAAATTATTCACAGCTCGGGTGGCGATCCCCCCCCCCCCCTTCAGCCACCGGACTGTTAAATATCATGCATTTAACTGTTAAGTCATAAAAATTCATTGAAAATCAATAGGCTTCTTCGTCTCAAGATCTTAAACTCGGTGTATAAATTTAAAGTCAATCGGATATTAACTTTGGCCTCTAGAGCGTCCACAAGATTTTTCAAAGTGAACAAGGGCCATAACTCTGGCAGAAAATATCATAAATCGCTGAAAATCAATAGGCTTCTTCGTCTCATGACCTTTAACACTGGGTATAAATTTAAAGTCAATCGAATATTAACTTTGGCCTATAGAGCGTCGACAAGATTTTTTTAAAGTGATCAAGGGCCATAACTCTGGCAGTAATTATCAGAAATTGCTGAAAATCAATAGGCTTCTTTGTCTTATGACCACAAACACTGTGTATAAATTTAAAGTCAATCGGATATTAACTTTAGCCTTTAGAGCATCCACAAGATTTTTTGAAGTGATCAAGGGCCATAACTCTGGCAGTAATTATCGGAAATCGTTGAAAATCAATAGGTTTCTTCGTCTCATGACCTTAAACACTGTGTATAAATTTAATGTCAATTGGATATTAACTTTGGCCTCTAGAGCATCCACAATATTTTTCAAAGTGATCAAGGGCCATAACTCTGGCAGTAAATATCATACAGATTACCTATTTTCCAGTGTAAGCTAAAAGAAATATCAGCTTACTTTTTGTATGCATTCCTCATTTGGCTACCAGCAAGGTTTGATGCAGGCAATCCCATTTTATTATACACCATTCTCCATTTATCCAAATTAGTAACTTTATTATATCCACCAAAATTTTGTACTAATTTGAAAAGTCTGTATAAATTCAGATCATGCATGCCTACTAAAGGACCTTTGTTAATTGGTGTGCCTGCAATAAAATGGAAACATGTTATAATATGTACCTTTAGGTATTGGTCCACCATTAACGTACAAATGAAAAACGTGGAAATACGGCTACACACTCGCAAAGAGATACACTGTCAAAAGTGAAAATGAACGTTTTTGATTTTTGTCTAAATATTCAGTAATTGCTCCACCAATCCTCAGACATTCAGCAATTTGTCATGGCATTCTCCTAATCAACCGTCCAATCACGATTTGGGGCAATCTGACCCACTCCTGTTGCAGTGCCACGGCCAATTCTTGCAGTGTTGTCGGTTGACGTCGACGAACACCTCTCCCGATCAAATTAAACGTAACACACTAAAGCAAAGATATGCTAAACAGTAAATCTTATGCAAGAACCAATAGGAAAGCAAACATGGATAGATAAACCAGCACGCACAAGTTTTCATCAACCCTTCCTTGAAGTTTTAAGAGCGTGTCCGCGAGAAAACCATGCAGAAGGTGCTAAGGCTTCAATCACAGATTTTGACCAAATTTGGTTTATAAGTTGGGATAGTCCCAAAACACATAAATGTGCAATATTAGATAAATCTTTCAATTCCTGTATGAGAAAATTGAAAAAACATTTTTCATATGGTGAAATTGACAAAATCTGTCTTTTCTCAAATACCAACTTTGGCAAGTCCTTACACCTTTACTATACGTAGCAGAAAGACCAAACTCACACAGTTTATCGATGACTCAGTGCTGTTACCACAATATTAACTTCAGACGATTCTGGCAACGAGATCTGTATACGGACTGGATATCAAAGCCTGTCTAAATTCCCCATTTTTCGTCACCCAAAGTTTGACGCCCTATAGCTACTTCTTTCATGGGGTGGGTTTAAAAAATTTATGCTCACGTGAACAAGCAACCTCCCAACATTTGATACAAAAAATAAAAATGACCGGAATCAACTTGACAAAAACTAGGTAAAGGAAACAATAACCCAGGAAATTAACCTGTAATTTCCCTATTTTGGAGATAATTAACCGTAGTAGATAAAAAAAAAAAACTAACAATTTATTTTCCTTTTCATTCATATGGTGTTTACTACCAGCCCTAAAATACATTAGTATCTGTTTTATAAAAATATCTTGAAAAAAAATACTTTCAAAGGCCTGTAATCGTTCATGGCTCATCTGGCGTCAACAGCAGTTGTCCACGACCTTCCATTGGAGTTTCGACGTGCTCAATCTTAACAAACATATCCATTACTCTCAAATAGACATTATTTTAAATAAAATAATCCAACAAAAATGAAAAATTCACCTAAAAGTGAGATTCGAACCACCAACCGCATGACTTCCCCCGACCCACCCTCTCACCGAGTTGCTTGTCCCAGGGCTCCAAGGTCCATGTCGTGGGCCCTGTTCAGGGGGTTTACCTAGGGCCTCTCTTATTCTAAATCCGGCCCTGACGGTGCCCGAGAGCTGTAGCTACCATACTACACTGTTCAATGTCACCCACTTCGACGCAATTAGGCTTCGTTGCCGTTAATATTTAAGCTTCCACATTTTTGTATTGTAGAAATCAGTAGATGTGTCCCAAAATGAATAGTGGAAACATGCTCTGAAATTAAACATTTTGTAGCCATTTTCGGTAACTTGTTTGAAAATGAAATCTTAAAGAGACAATACAACAAATATGTTAAAGGGACAATACGACAATACCAAATATACAATAAATACAAATACACACTTATATAGAGTACAACATGGTACAAATAATGGCTATGGATATGATGAAAACGTATAAAAGTCAAAAATTTTATTTCTCTAATTAAATTCGCAAAAAAATGTATCACAAAAGCTTTTTTTTAGCACTTTTCAATAAGCTGTGGATACTATGTGCTTAGCACTTCAAAACCATCCAAAGAAATTCTACTTGCGACCATGAAAGACAAGAGCATCGCTAACGCAGCAATATACGTCCACATTCCTGTTTTGTTTGATATGGTCCAGTTTGCATTGAGGGTCTGTGAAATAAAACTGGGTTGTAGGACTGCTATCAGTATAACATTTCGTTCACATTAACAGAACACAATTTTTATTTTAAAACAATCGATGTCTTTATTCTAAAAGCATGACGTTTTTTTTTTGTTTTTTTTTGCTTGATTGATAACGATAAGAGAATACTTGTGGAAACGTCGTGCTTTTAGAATAAACTAGTGATTGTATCCCATAAAAACTGTGTTCTGTTAATTTGTTCCCTGATCGCTAAATGCCACTTAAAGAATAACTAGAAATGGGCGTGGCTCTGCCCCTGGGGGTCGGGCATGCACCAAAAACAATAGGGATCTTCCTTGGGGTATAAGGAATAAGTATACCAAGTTTGAAGAAAATCCAGTAAGAATTGCGCCCTGTAGGCGACACAAAGACACACGAAAAGAAAATGGGCGTGGCTCTGCCCCTGGGGGTTGGGCATGCACCCCAAACGATAGGGATGTTCCTTAGGGTACAAAGAATGTGTATGCAAAGTTTCAAGATTATTAGTTAAGAAATGTGGCCTGTAGACGACAAACAAACAAATACTAGAAATGGGCGTGGCTCTGCCCCGGGGGGTCGGGCATGCACCAAAAACAATAGGGATCTTCCTTGGGGTATAAGGAATAAGTATACCAAGTTTGAAGAAAATCCATGAAGAATTGCGCCCTGTAGGCGAACCACAGACACACACACACACACACACACACACATACATACATACACACACACACACACACAGACAGGGGCGACGGCATAATACGTTCACATTATGAATGTGGACGTATAAAAAAGTTACATTGTATCTTTTTCTGCACTATAAGGACAATGTGAATATGGTACCCTAAAACAAGTCCACACAAAATTAGTATGTACTGATTTTTTTTTTCAAATTAGTGCTGGGGTAGAAGTTGACCACCGCTTTATCAGACAGGGTCAAAATTAGAAGGTTGCTATTCCACCATAGAATGCAGTCTGTGCTTAAAAAAGGTGATAAATACACATGTGAAAACTGCAATTTTACCCATAAAATGAATAATTCCTGTACAGTCCTTTAGAGCGACATCAGACTGTAACCACTTCAGCATGTTACCTCTTGCCTCTAGGGGGTGTCATATCATAAGTTTAATCAAAAACTTCCGACCCCCCATCTTAGCACTTTTTGCGATTTTTGCATGGTCTTCTCGCGGATACACTCTTAATCTTTTTGATGTCAGCCGACAACACGTAGAAATGAGTCATATATGTCACATATCCTAATAATAACACCCCAAATCAATGTATCGGATAACTTTTCTGTGATATCACTTCAGTGGAAGCGAGCGTTACATAAAGCTATTTCACACACACATCTGAAAAACACTAAACAATGCAAGCTCTGTTTCTGATCACACGCAGTTATAGAACAATAACTGAAACGAAAGTAGAAATCTTGCGAGACGCATGAAATTATGAAGTGAATACGTGACAAATTTCACACGTCTAATGTCGGAGAAAAGATTCTATTTTGATGTCATATACTTGGATTTATGATCATATTTTGAATGGGGTTTATGATTTTAACTAAAGAATATGTCGACCGGAATAGTGTAAGTAATTAATTGCTTTAGACGAATGCGATTATTTAGCAGATGGTGTCACTCGCTTATTGTGGTAGAGCAACGTTTACAAATTTCACACGTCTAATGTTGGAGAAAAGATTCTATTTTGATGTCATATACTTGGATTTATGATCATATTTTGAATGGGGTTTATGTTTTTAACTAAAGAATATGTCGACCGGAATAGTGTAAGTAATTAATTGCTTTAGACGAATGCGATTATTTAGCAGATGGTGTCACTCGCTTATTGTGGTAGAGCAATGTTTACTGCAAAATAAATTATCAAACTCAGTCACGGTATTGATGTGATAAAACTATACACCAAGTGTCCTCACTGTCACTTAATTAGAACTAAAGATATCGTGTCCCAAAGCATCAACCAATCAAATTCCTCATCTCTGCTTACCCTAAGCAGAAAACGCTCATCTTCGAACACCATCAAGACATTGACCTAATAAACACCTACACCAAGTTTGAATGTTCTAGCTCAATTAGGAGTTATTGTGTTCCAGTGTCTCAGCCAATCAATAAAACGTCCACAAGATTTTTTGAAGTGATCAAGGGCCATGAGTAATTATTGGAAATCGCTGAAAATCAATAGGCTTCTTCGACTCATGACCTTAAACACTGTGTATAAATTTTAAAGTCAATCGGATATTAACTTTAGCCTCTAGAGCGTCCACAAAATTTTTTGAAGTGATCAAGGGCCATAACTCTGGCAGTAATTATTGGAAATCGCTGAAAATCAATAGGCTTCTTCGTTTCATGGCCTTAAACACTGTATATAAATTTCAAGTCAATCGGATATTAACTTTGGCCTCTAGAGCGTCCACAAGATTTTTCAAAGTGATCAAGGGAGAGAGAGAGAAATGGGGTTTAACGTCCACTCGACACAAACTAGGTCATTTCGGGATTAACATATGGTTTAATTTTTTTATTTCAATAATTCGCTTGCGCTTAAGGGTCTTTAGCAGTGGGAGGAAACCAGAGGACCCGTAGAGAAAACCCATGGGGAATCGAAACCTCGTCAGTTGACTCAATGGCAGACCGTATAATACAGCGCGCACGTGCTTTCTATTCGGCCATCCAACCCCCCAAGTGATCAAGGGCCATAACTCTGGCAGTAATTAGCGGAAATAGCTGAAAATCAATAGGCTTCTTCGTCTCATGACCTTAAACACTTTGTATAAATTTAAAGTCAATCGGATATTAACATTAGCCTCTAGAGTGTCTACAAGATTTTTCAAAGTGATCAAGGGCCATAACTCTAGCAGTAATTATTGGAAATCACTGAAAATCAATAGGATTCTTCGTCTCATGACCTTAAACACTGTGTATAAATTTAAAGTCAATCGGATATTAACTTTGACAAGTTTTTACAAAGTGATCAAGGGCCATAACTCTGGCTGTAAATACTGAAAATCACTGAAAATGAATAGGCTTCATCGTCTCATGACCTTAAACACTGTGTGTATAAATTTAAAGTCAATCGGATATTAACTTTAGCCTCTAGAGTGTCCACAAGATTTTTCAAAGTGATCAAGGGCCATAACTCTGGCAGTAATTATCGTAAATCGCTGAAAATCAATAGGCTTCTTCGTCTCATGACCTTAAACACTGTGTATAAATTTAAAGTCAATCGGATATTAACTTTGAACTCTAGAGGGACCACAAGATTTTTTGAAGTGATCAAGGGGCATGACTATGGCAGTAATTATTGAAATCCGCTGAAAAACAATAGGCTTCTTCATCTCATGACCTTAAACACTGTGTATAAATTTAAAGTCAATCGGATATTAACTTTAGGCTATAGAGCGTCCACAAGCAACTGTGGACGCTGGACCGACGGACGGGGGCGACAACAATATACGACCGCATTTCAATGTCGGCGTATAAAAACAACTTTCTTCCAATGCGGGCAATGGAGCTGTGACACCTAATACGACCACATTTCAATGTGGACGTATAAAAACAGTGACCTGTAGCTAAAAATCTGATTTTCGTACAATCTGGGGACATAATCCATGAAGTTACGGTCTGATACATGCCAATATCGAAAGGAACCAAGATCTTTGGATATCAACCTATATTTCAAGTTTTGTCAAAATCGGATAAAAATTGCCACCTGTAAAGTGTCCACAAACAAATGTGAACATGCGTGATGACAATTGTCTGGCATAAAAAAACCAGTTAAATTTATAAAAGTGTGCACAATTCATCCAATCACATTTGGAAAACTGTCTAAGACCACTGTAACCTTATATTTGCTAGTTCATTTGGTTTATTTTGGAATCGCAAAGGCTCACTAAGTTGTTGAAGCCTGTTAAAAGGGAATGGAAACTAATTGACACTTTTTCCGGATACAAACAACTACTGGTGATCCAATTCTGGCGTGCAAAATTTTAATACAGAAATCCTTCTTTTACCTCTGTCATCCATAAACTTGTATAGTTGGGCAACAAATCTGTCCTTTTCTTCATTCTGTTCGTCATCAGATGACTGAAAATATTAATGGATTGTAATGTATAAAGACAGGTTGCCAGCTAAGTCGTCCGGGCAGTCAACAAGTGCTGTCGCATATTTTTTCTTTTGTCAGTCATGAGAATATTTACAACACATGAAAATATGATAACGAGTAATAACCCATGAAGTAATTATCAGAAAACATAAGAATTTATTTTGATTGTTTGTCTCATGAAATGGAGTTTTAGCTTCTAGAGCGTCCACAAGATTTTTCAAAGTGATCAAGGGCCTTAACTCTGGCAGTTAATTATTGGAAATCATTGAAAATGAATATGATTCTTTGTCTCATGACCTTAAACACTGTGTACAAGTTAATCAGATATTAACTTTAGTCTCCAGACGGACCAACGGATGGGGTGACGACAATATACGGCCAAGTCAATGTGGACGCATAAAAAGCAGTTGCCATGCAAGATAAGCCCACATATAGCAAGAGACGGACAGTGAACAAGCTAAAAGATAGGTTGCCAGGCAACGAAACATACGCCCACAGCAGTTATATCGTCCGGGCAGTCAACAAGAGTTATCGCATATTTTTACTTTTTTCGGTAATGAAACATTTATAATACATTAAAATCTGATTAAGAATAACAACTCATTAAGTAATTATCAGAAAATCATTAGAATTTGTTTGGTTTTTATAAAGTTTCGCCCCATGCTAATACTTAGTATACAAAACTTTTAATTCCATGGATTTAGCTGTTCAAGTCATAAAGATTCATTGATAATCAATATACTTGTTCGTCTCAAGACCTTAAACTCTGTGTATCAATCTGAAGTCAATTGGATGATAACTTTAGCCTCTAGAGCGTCCACAAGATTTGTCAAATTGATCAAGGACCATAACTCTGGCAGTAATCAAAAGGCTTCTTCGTCTCATGACCTTAAACACTGTGTATAAATTTAAAGTCAATCAAATATTAATTTTGGCCTCTAGAGCGACCACAAGATTTTTTGAAGTGATCAAGGGCCATAACTCTGGCAGTAATTATCGGAAATCGTTGAAAATCAATAGGCTTCTTTGTCTCATGACCTCAAACACTGTGTATTAACTTTACCCTCTAGAGCGTCCACAAGATTTGTCAAAGTGATCAAGGACCATAACTCTGGCAGTAATTATCGGAAATCGTTGAAAATCAATAGGCTTCTTCGTCTCATGACTTCAAACACTGTGTATTAACTTTGCCCTCTAGAGCGTCCACAAGATTTTTCAAAGTGATCAAGGGCCATAACTCTGGCAGTAATTATCGGAAATCGCTGAAAATCAATAGGCTTCTTCGTCTCAAGACCTTAAACACTGTGAATAAATTGAATTCAATCAGATATTAACTTTAGCCTCTAGAGCGTCCACAAGCAATTGTGGACGACGGACGGACGGGGGCGACGACAATATACGACCATATTTCAATTTGGGCGTATAAAAATGACTTTTTCAAAGTGTTGAAAAAAATATTTCTTCCGCGAACGGTCAAAAATTGGAACTTTGAGCCTCCATAAAAAAAAAAAAAATTCATACGATTTTGAATCTGTAAAAAGTTTTGTGAGAAGAATGATGAGATCTACTTGAAAAGCTAATAAAATCAAATGTATAATCATAATCTCAAAATCATCTTTTCCACCTAGTATCAATTTTAAGTCAATTGAAACAATTATATATAGGCGTAGAACACAGTGTATAAATATACTCTTCAAAAAAAGTAGGGGATATTCAGAAACAATACAAAACTGCGGAAATGCACTGCTGTTTTTATTAGAGGTAACCAGTGTATGTTAATAACAGGCCAATCACCTACACATGAACATAAACATTTCATATGGGTGGTTTATCTGACCTCTCCATTTCACTCGCAAAGAGATACACCGTCAAAAGTGAAAATGGACGTTTTTTTATTTTTGCCTTAATAATGAGTAATTGCTCCAACAATCCTCAGACATTCATCAATTCGTTGTGGCATGCTCCTAATCAACCGTCCAATCACGATTTGGGGCAATCTGACCCACACCTCATGCAGTGCCACAGCCAATTCTTGCAGTGTTGTCGGTTGACGTTGACGAACACGTCTCCCAATCAAATTAAACGTAAAACACTAAAGCAGAGATACGCTAAACAGTAAATCTTATGCAAGAACCGATAGGAAAACAAACATGGATAGATAAACCAGCACGCAGCAGTTTTCATCAACCCTTCCTTGAAGTGTCAAATTTGACAATGAACCCCTCCTACGTGTATGGCGCTATTGTATGTCGCATGTGCAGCTCAGTGGTTCTTTTAGGGCGACAAGTTCTTCATCTGTGAACATGCTCTCAAAGCATGTCAAATGTCCATGACTATTTATCATATCGCAACCTGTATAGGTATTTGCATTTCAATATCGCCTACTTTTTTTGAAGAGTATATAAAATTAATCAGATGATAACTAAGTTTTCTAAAGCATCAAAGTGATCAAGGGTTATAACTCTGGCAGAATCATTGGAAATTGTTGAAAATCAATAGGTTTCTTCATCTCATGACCTTAAACACTGTGTATACATTTAAAGTCAATCAGATATTAACTTTAGCTACTACTCATTTTAAAGTTGTCAAGGTTACACCCCAGCAGCACAATCTTTTAAACACTGAAGAGGTGAGGTTTGGTCCTCCAATGACAAGAAATACTTGAGTTCAGAGTAACGAGAAGAACATCCAGACAGATACCAATGCAAGGTAAAAGCAATACGATAACTGATCATCAGATTGTCACCAACACAGTAGTTTTAATCACTGATGTCATTCTAGGTTATACCATGTTTTCTATGAATAATAGTACTCGGGAAAACATCAGCAATGTTGTACTTGGCCATTTTACCCTTTTACCCTTAAACAAATTGGGAACAGATTGGGTAGGAGAAAAAGTCAATAGAAAAGACTCTGCTGTAAGATCCAAAAAAAGAGGCCAATCTGCTTGACATACTCTATGCTAAATTAAAGCAGATGTGATGTCGGAAGTGACAAATACTAGATCATACAATTCTTGATAACATCTCAATCAAGGAAAGATTGAGTAAAATCAAAATGTATTCAGAATGTCTAAAAGTACCTGCTCAACCAGATCGGGACAAAAGAAAGCCAGACAAAGTCGACACTCCCTACACTGAATAATCTTGCAATTTCTAAGGTATGTGACAATTCTGTAGACAGACATTCGATAAACTCTGTCACAAGCAAGATATCCAACAACCAGCCTGGGTGAAAAAGTTTTGCAATGAAATGACCTGCTTCAATTACTTACATTTCTGTACTGAATAATCTCACACAAGGAGGTTTAAAACAGATATATTTGAGATAAGGTATATGTTGTGGATATTTTGGATTAAAGTTATTCACCAACACTAAGTCTTAACATTGTAGCTCAATTAGATGAAGTAAGGCACGGGCTCACTAACCAGGAGATCCGGGATTTGACTCTGGTGTAAACCAACAAAGTTCCCCCGGGATTTTCCATGTAATTGTGAGGTTGTTAACTATATAAATTTGTGGGCCTGAATTGAACACAAGCGGTTGACATGCAAGATACGCCAGTATTTTGCAAGAGATGGACAGAGAACAAGCTAAAAAAAAAGAAGGGATTTTTCGTACAATCAAGGGCCATAATTCAGGAAGTTACGATCTGATATGCATGAATATTGAAAGGAACCAAGATCTTTGGGTTATAAACATGCATTTTAAGTTTCGTCAAAATCGGATTAAAATTGTGACCTCTACAGGGTCAACAACATTGATATTCCATATTTTTACGCTATTTGACTACAAGGCGTGGCCATTTTGTCTGTCAGTTTTGGTTCGATTTTTACGAAATTCGAACTCAACCATCCTTAAGGTATAACGGTGATATATTCAAACGTTTTTTTTAAATCGGATAAGAATTATGACCGCTATAGGGTCCACAAGCTAAAAACGTGATTTTTCGTACAATCAGGAGCCATTATTCAGGAAGTTACCATTCGATATGCACGAATATCGAAAGGAACCGAGATCTTTGGGTTATAAACTTACATTTCAAGTTCTATCAAAATCAGAAAAAAATTGTGACCTCTAGAGGTTCCACAACCTTGATATACCATATTTTTACGCTATTTGAGAACGAGGGGCGGCCATTTTGTCTGTCAATTTTGGGTTGATTTTCATGAAAATCGAAATCAACCATCCTTAGAGTATAACGGTGATATATTAAAATGTTTTTTTTTAAATCGGATAAAAATTATGACCTTTATAGGGTCCACAAGCTAAAAACGCGATTTTTCATACAATCAGGGGCCATAATTCAGGAAGTTACCGTCCATTATGCGCGAATATCGAAAGGATCTGAGATCTTTGGGTTATAAACTTATATTTCAAGTTTCAACAAAATCGGATAAAAATTGTGACCTCTATAGGGTCCACAACCTTGATATACCATATTTTTACTCTATTTGAGAAAGATGGGCGGCCATTTTGTCAGTCAGTTTTGGTCCGATTTTCACGAAACTCGAACTCAGCCATCCTTAGGGTGTAAAGGTGATATACTAAAACATTTTTTTAAATCGGATAAAAATTATGACCTCTATAGGGTCCACAAGCTAAAAACGCGATTTTTCATACAATCAGGGGCCATAATTCAGGAAGTTAATATCTGATATGCGCGAATATCGAAAGGATCCGAGATCTTTGGGTTATAAACTTACATTTCAAGTTTCAAGAAAATTCGATAAAAATTGTGACCTCTAGAGATTCCACAACCTTGATATACCATATTTTTTTTACGCTATTTGAGAACGATGGGCGGCCATTTTGTCAGTCAGTTTTGGTCCGATTTTCACGAAATTCAAACTCAGCCATCCTTAGGGTGTAGCGGTGATATACTAAAACGTTTTTTTAAATCGGATAAAAATTGTGACCTCTATAGGGTCCAGAAGCTAAAAACACGATTTTTCGTACAATCAGGGGCCATAATTCAGGAAGTTATGGTCTGATATGCGCGAATATCGAAAGGAACTGAGATCTTTGGGTTATAAACATATATTTCAAGTTTAAACCAAATCGGATAAAAACTGTGACCTCTACAGTGTTCACAAGCTAAAAACGTGATTTTTCATACAATCAAGGGCCATAATCCATGAAGTTACAGTCCGATACATGCCAATATCGAAAGGAACCAAGATCTTCTTAGGGTGAAAAACCTATATTTCAAGTTTCGGTGAAATCGGACAAACAATTGTTCCCATGCAAGATATGCCCACATTTTGTAAGAGATGGACAGGGAATAAGCTAATAAAGGAATGTGATTTTTTGTACAATCTGGAGCCATAATCCATGATGTTACGGTGCGATAATTGCCAATATTGAAAGGAACAGAGATCTGTTGGAGTTGGACATAAACCTGTATCTTAGGAAAATTGATGTTATCAAGCTGTGTCAAAAAAGTTTGCAAAGGTTTGCGCAGTGCTGTCTTTTATTTGAATCAAACACATACCTCATCTTCTTCAATGTCCTCTTCTGAACCAAGTAATTCTTCTCTCTTCCATGAAGCTGGCAATGATTTGTGCTCAAAATAATTCAAAGCTTTTTCCATCGCTATAAACAGAACAAATTGACACATAACTTTATTCTGATTCTCATCAGCTTTATCATAACCAAAATATAACCATACACGATATGCACACTTGTGTTTGGGACAATTTGTAGAGATTCCACGATTAAGTTTCTAACAATGAACATCTGTTGATACGATATTCGTACTAAGTTATATATCATGAAAAGAGAAATGCTCAATGATCACACTTTTAAGAGTGACCTGGGCTTATTAAAAACTAACATCTCTGCCCCTAAATAAATAATAAGTTTATGTACAGTTTAATATCAGTATCTTTTCAAATAAAGCGACCGAACTATCATCACTCTTGACACAAAAAAAAACTAGTATGAATGGTTCCATGATCACGCTTTTAACAAATTATATTTTATTGCATCCGAAGTACATTTTGAAATTTTCACTAATGCAAAATCTTTTCTAATAAAGCGACCAAATTATAGCAGGGTTGGGCGATATACCGGTTTTTCGACGATTTTATCATATCAGACTTATTTAAAAATATCGAAAAACCGGTATATATGGTGATAATCAAAATTATCGCGATATGATTATCATGTCCCGATATTGATAATATGCTATATCATACGAAGAAATTGCAATGCGAGAGGTCATGATTGATTCAAGGACTCGTAATCGAAGAACAGTTGTTTGGCAAGGTCAAGGTTGGACAGTAACATATTTCTCAGTTATGTCGATACTTTTTTCGGCAGCCGAAGTCGGACCTTCGTCTTATAGTCTGCATCGACTTATATATCGATGAAGGTCAAAAAAAAAATAAGATCAAAAAATGTTTTTTCTCTGTAATTGTCATCCTACGAAGTAGGCCTACGATATTGAGTGACATTGTTTGCTAAATATCAAAATAATAGCACCCTCACAGCAAAGTCAACGCATATTGTTCCGATTTTTGCTATTGTTATTCCAATACAAATACTTGTCAGTTTTTCTAAATATATATAGTTTGTTTAATTATTTTTTAAAAAAATATATCCAACATTCAATAAAGACTAGAAAATGTCATTAAGATAGAATCTTTCTGCCGACAAGAAACATATCTATCTCTCATAATTTCTCGCACAAATTCTACTTTGGTTTCCAACTAAATCAACCAATCATAAAAAATCCACTTTAAAAGCCCGTAATTATATTTTTATTGTCCAATCAATAGACGCCTTTTATTTGATTTTATTCTATTATTAGTAACACAGTGTGATCGTCAGTCACCTGCGAATAGAAACCATGTATTGTTTTTGTATTTATCGGAGATATTGGAATAAAAAAAGGTTCAAATGAATCTAGAACAAAACTTATAATACTACTCAAAATTATCGCGATATGATTATCATGTCCCGATATTGATAATATGCTATATCATACGAAGAAATTGCAATGCGAGAGGTCATGATTGATTGCTAAGTCCTGCATTTAGCAACTAATTATTTTACATTAATTGATTTTCTTTACGTACATCGGCACAGTATAAGACTAGGACATTCAACGACAAAACAGCAAATAATGACCTGGTTGCTATGGGATTTTGTTTTGGAACATACCAAATCTTTGACTTGCTTTTTCTCAAAACTTAGTTTTGTGAGTTGGGTAGCTTCAAATGGACACAGCTCAGTCAATTTTTGTCCGATTCAAACAAACTATACATCAAATTGAAGGAAATGAGTTTGAGAATGTGCCAATAACAATAACTCAATTTTCAAAATTTCCTCATTGTGACTTATTATGCCATGGGGGGTCACATATTGAGATCGATTTCAAAGTATTATAATACAATTGCTAGTAATATATTTAACTGAAAAAGTAATCCAAAATCGCAGATTGAAAGTCGGCTAAATTTCAGTGAATGGCTTCCGATTTCACGCTAAAGTCCTGTGGCATGAAATGTTTACTCTTCGCCGGTTAATTGTCAAAATCGCATATACAGACGTTTACTAGCCATGGGGTAAAATGATAGTTATGGAAAGAACCTTGTACAGGTCTCTATTTTATTTGGTACACTCCTGTACTCTGAATCAGTACCATTACAATATACTTTATTTACTCCAAACCAGTGATGGGATTTCAAAAAAATTATTGTCGGACATTTTTTCCAGAAAATAAAGGGGCATAACTCTTATCGTAATTTACGCCGACGTTTTCAAAACACAATTAAGAATCACGTGTCAACAAAATATATTCAAATTTATATGTAAAAAAAAATAGGTGCACCTCGTTATATTTCATGTTTAAAACCCATACGGTATTCAAATTTATGTCAATAATATTCCTACAAAATTACATGACATCAATACTATAGAATGGCAGCGTGCCGACTGCTGTCGATCTGTTTCAAACTCCCCCAAAAACCGTAGTTAACGACGCTCAAATACAACGAGCGAGTGACACCAACTGCTAAATAATTGCATTCGACTGTAGCACCCGCTATCGTCTAAAACAATTAACTACTTACGCCATTCCAATCGAAATATTCGTCAACATTTCTTAGCGTGTTTATTTATTTATTTATTTAAAGACATAAACCCCATTCAAAATATGATCATAAATCCGACAATATGCCATCAAAATAGAATCTTTTCCCGGACATCAGTCGTATTGGATTCGGCACGTATACACCTCTTAATTTCACGTGTCTCACGAGATTTGTACTTTCATTTTAATTACTGAACTATAGCGCCTTATGCGTGTGTGTGAAATATCTTTATTTAACTTCGGCTTCCACCGAAAATATATCACAGACAAGATATCGGATACAATGTATGTTGATTTGAGGTGTTATATATTATCAGGATATGTGACATATGTCTAATTTCTACGTGTTATTGTCCGACACAAAGGAGATTAAAACGTGAGACAATGGACAAATCACGGGTTAATCAGATTAAGTTTATAATCACTCTTATTGGATTGATATATCGTCCGACAAAGGAGAAGCAATGACATCTGTTCAGGATTGACTTGATGAATTGTCCGACAAAGGATTAAGTCAGCCAATCAAGGCAGAATAGTAGTTAATCAAGGTAGGTGTGTAGACGACATAACACGATAAATAGTCGATCACTTAATTACCTAATCAATCCAGCCTATTATCAACGATAATCGGGTTGCACGGTAGTTATACACTCAGTACACTATATTAATTTTGGAATTTGAATATTATTCACCATGTCTTGATGTCCGATTGGGCATATTCCCGGTCGGACAATTTTGGGCGTTTCGAAAAAAGATTTGGACAAGTCCTGAATATACGGGTAAATTCCCATCACTGCTCCAAACAATACTAATCACAAACACACGTTGGACTGTCAAGCGTATTACCGGAATTAGAAGTTTCTGGTCAAATTCAGCCAATCATGAGGTTGATTTTTGAAATGGAAGTAATGGAGTTACCTCCCTTTGAAAGTAAAAATAGCATTTGGCATATGACAATTTTCTGTGTGAAATTTCCTCCCGTGCGGGAGATCGGGAGAATGGTCATGAATCCGGCTTGTTGACACGCCTGGTTCAATTCAGTTCTTTATTTACTTTGAGTATAAAACTCATAGTAAGTATACATATATATACAATATTTACATAATCTACAGTATATACAATTTAACAAAGTAAATAACATAAGCAATACATACACCACTTTCCACTGTCGGAAATGATTTAAAGGTTGATCTGTCAAATTTAACTAGTTCACAGTAGTTCAACAGTTTGTTGACGATATATTTATTTTCCATTTCGATGTTTGTGAAAAGGTCGATGACATCATATGAAATAAATTTACCTACATCTTGGGAACCCTTGATTTTCTCACAGAAGTCTGCCGAATCTTTGATAAAGGAGTCAGCAGATTTACCTAGTGGGGATAATAACTTGACCAAGTACTGCGCTGTTTTATAGAAGACCGATTCTCTGGAGCAGACTAATAGGCGGGCTTTAATAGGTTCTTTGTGTATTTTTATTGTGGCTCTGGCATAAGGTGGGCGTGGATGCATCACTCTCATCTGGTACATGGTCTCATCTGTTATTTGGTTTAAGGTTCGCAATTCTTTGAGATGGCTAAAATGTTGATTAGATAGAGTATTGGTGGGGTCTTTACGTAGTTTCTTGTATGTGGTTTTATCTTGGAGTAAGCTGTCAACTATCGTATTGTAATCTTTCTTGTTAAGGATGACTGTGGCCTTGCCTTTATCTGCTCCTACTATGGTGATGGTGTCATCTGTCTTTAGTTCATTGATAGCATCTCGCTGTGGTTTGGTCAGGTTGGGCTTCTGTGGTTTGGATTTTGATAGTAACTCAGTGATCTGGTGGCGCAGGTATTCTGTCTCCCCCCTGGGGCTAGTTGACGTATTCCTCGTTCTATGTTGGCGATGAAGGTGTCACTGTTTTTTTGCTGGAGTACTGGTGCATAATTCAGACCCTTTGAAAGTAAAGTAATCTGGTCATCTGTGAGTTGCTTGTCACTCAGGTTCACGACTGTCTTTGAGATGTATTCATTGACTTTTTGGTTGGTTGGTTGGTTATCTTTCTTATTTCCAGCTAGTAATTTGTTTTCTAATTCAAGTAGTTGCTGGTGTTTCAAGATGTTGGTGCGCTGTTTCTCATTCCTAAGATGTTGAATCCGTTCCCTAAGTAGTGAGTGGCTGGCTTTATCCAAAATCTTCAAGGCTGCTTTCGACTTAACTGGAGGCTTAAGACGTAAACCATTAGGTATGAGCTGTTTGTCAAATTATAACAAACTCTATGATACTTCCCTTCAGTTTTACCCACACTGTTAACTAATTTGATTGCCTCATCTCCATATCGATGTGTCAGAACTTCTTTAAGTGGCATTTAGTAATTGAATAGTAACACACTAACACTATTTATGGAATAACAATCACTGGTTTATTAACATGCAACGTTTCGACGATGATACTCTCGTCTTTATCAAGCAAATGATAACATATATGTAAAACATCAAGTATTTATATACAGTATAAAA